GTAAAACTAATATGGATCCTTGTTGTCAACTACAGCTTTTTCTAACATTCGCTTGACAGTTTGAATATGTCTTTCAACCATTCCATTAGACTGTGGGTATTTTGGACTTGAAGTTCTGGTTTCAAATTCCATCTTCTTGCAAAATCTTTATATTTCCTGCAATTATATTGTGGACCATTATCCGAATATACTATTTTTCGGAATACCATGTCTTGCAAAAATTGATTTCAATTGCTTTATCACTGCTACACTTGACAAATCTTCCAAATGTCCAATTCAACATATTTGCTAAAATAATCTATAACTATTAGATAATCCCTTCCTTGAAAATAAAAGAGGTCTGTCCCATACTTCCCATGGACATTAGGTATTTCTTTAGATATCATTGGTTCTTTAGTATTAGCTTTTTGTAAACTTAAACATGTTTGACAATTCAGTACCAAATCTTCAATTTCTTTGGACATTCCTGGCCAATATAAATTTCTCTTGCTTTGATCTTGCATTTACTACTCCTAAATGACCATATGAATTCTGCTTAACATATCTTTTCGTAAACTTCTTGGTACAACAACACAGGAGTTTTTAAATATTAATCCATTTGCTTCTGATAGTTCTTCTCTGAAGTTAAAATATGGTTTTTGCCAGTTCTGGAACCATACATTTTTCATCTGGCCATCCAGTTTTAATTAATTTTCTTAAAACTTGTAGTTCTTCATCTTTTTTCTGTTTCCAGTTGAAAAACTTCCATTTTACCATAACATTGGTATACATTGTACAACTAATCCACATGAGCTTCTATTTCTCCTTCAAAGAAATCAGATCCTTTATCAGTGAATGATTTTGATAATGCATCCACTATAAAAGTTCTTTTCCTGGTTTATATTTTATCTCAACTGATATGGCTGTAATCTTATACGCATTCTTTGTAGTCTTACAGGGCATTTATTTATGGCTTTTTAAAAATTGATTCCAGTGGTTTATGATCACTCTCCACAGTAATATTTTTTCCAAATATATACTGGTGAAATTTCTCACATGCAAAACAATAGCTAAGTTTCCTTTTCAATTTGAGCATAATTCTTCTGTGTATCTTTTAATACTTAGATGCATATGCCACTGGTAAATTATTCTGCAGTAAGACTGCTCCTATCCCTTCTTGAGATGCATCTACAGATAAAACACTGGCATGTTTATATCATATACTGTAAAACTGGTTTATTTCACCAAGACATCTTTATAGTTCTAAATGCTTTTTTCATGTTGTTGCATTCCAGTTCCATAACTTGTTTTTCAACAAATCTCTTAAACATGATGCCCATTCTGATACATTAGGTAAAAATCTAGAAACATATATAATCATTCCTAGGAAAGTTTCTAATTCTTTCACATTTTTTGGTGTTTTATTTATATCTAGAAGAGCCTTAATTTTGTCTTCATCTGGTTTTAAAACCTCTTTAGAAAATATTCCCATATATTTCACTTCATTCAGCCCAAATTTACATTTATTTAAATTAAATTTAACATTCTTTTCTCTGGCTCTGCCAACAACTTCTTTAAATCTTGAATCATGTTCTTTTTTATCTTTACCCCAAACTAATAAGTCATCTATATTTTGAACTCTTCTAAATCACTAAAAATTCCAGAAAAACTTCTATGGAAAACTTCCGGTATGAACTCAGTCCATATGGCACCTCAAAAACAATATCTACCAAACGGAGTGTTAAATGTAGTAAATTCACAACTTGAATCGAAGTTCATTTGCCAAAAGCTTTGTTTGCATCTAAATACTAAAGACCTTTGCATTTGTCATTTGAGATGAAATTCTTCAAGTGGTATGTGATAATGTTCTCTCAGTATATTTTGGTTAGGTGCTGAGGATCTAAACACACTCTTAAATTTCCATCCTTTTTTCTTACTACACCACTATGAATTCACGAATTCTGTTGGTTGGTTAACTTTCTTATAATACCATCTTTTTCCATTTTTGCTAATTCCTTTTTTAATGGATTTAATAAGCTAAGTGGAATTTTCCTACAGGTTTCTATTTTAACCAATGCTCCTGGTTTTAATTTAATATTATATGTATATCCAGTTTAATTCCCCAGTTCCTTTAAACAATCTGATATCCTTTTAAAAGTTCTGGTAACTTTCATTAGAATCAGATTTACTGTACAAATCCTTTGTATTAGGTTTAATTTTTGCATGTGGTAAACCTAAAATAGCTGGAACAGTTTTATCACAGCTACACTTGAAATTCTATTTCATCTTGTCCCCTTTCGATGTTTCCATAATAATTTACATTTTCCAACTACATCAGGTAGTACCATTGTAATTATTAAAGTGACTTTTGATTTAGTCAAACATTTCTCTCTTAAATTTAATTGTTTTTAAATTTAGGCATGGTAGCACATTACACTGAGCTCCATTTCCAACTTAACAAATAAATATTTAGATATGTTTACTTTAGTTTTTCAAACCATTCGTTTTTTTTTTAGAAAATGGATTTGTATCTTCTACTGACCCTAAATATATTCATTACCATTATTATGTACTCATGCTCTAAATTATCTGTACAACATTAACATTATAAAATTGCATTTTAGAAAAGTGATTTTTCTTTTTACAGTACAAGCAAATTTATTATAAGCAGGACAGTGTATAACTATGAAAAGTTCCACATTTTCTACATGGTTTTGGATTATTGTACTTATTCCTTGATAGTTTGAAGAAGATTAGTACTTTGTTGCTTTTGTTTTACATGAAAGTCTTTCTTACAAGGCTGACTTTTTTCCTCTGAAGCTTCTATTTATTTTCTTCAGTTAAAGTTTTCAGCTGAAGTTCTGCTAATTCAGAAGCTTTACACATTTTAATACATTTCTCCAATGTTACTGATCTTCCCCTTATACTATCTTTGAGATTTATTTAGAATTCCCACTTACTATTCTATCCCTTATTAAACTATCTTTTAATTCTGCAAATCCCCAGTTGCTACTTAATTTCTTTAAATCGATTAAGAAATCATCAACGATTCACCTACATGTTGTGTTCGACAGAAAAATATATGTCTATCCAACACTTCGTTTGCTTTCGGTATGCAAAATTTTCGAAAGCTTCAATTACTTTGTCAACATCCTTCTTATTATCTTCTTCACTTAAATTAAAAGTATTAAATTTTCAAGTGTTCTTCACCAATTATATGCAATAAAATAGCTACTTTAATTTCAGGTGATTTAGTAATACCACCAGAGACGCTAACATATAAATTTGGAATTTTTGTTTCCATTTCTTCCAATTTTCGCTTAAATTTTCCTCGAAACTTAGATTACTTGGTGGCTTTAAATCCATCCATATTTAATTAAGACTTTAAATAGTTTAATATATACATATTTTAGTCACTTCCAATAAAATAAACAACTCACTTACCAGCGATATAAGTTTCGATTTCACAGTAGACAACTTCCCATGATGTTTTTGTTTAGAACATCTTTACCGAGGCTGCATGGTTCTTCAAAAAAGATTTTCTTTTTTAATCAACCATGGGCTGCGCCATGTGTTGTATTTTATACGTGTTGGGTACGTGCTCAGTGATGATTACAAGATGTACACAAACATCGTTTATTCTACATTACTCATCTACTATACTATATTACCGTTATAGTTAAAGATAATAATAGATACAGTTACATATATAACAGACACCCTTTAGTAATATCTCTCTTTACTTCGCAGTCAGTGAGACTAACGCAGATATTCCTGTTTTTAATCATAAAGATGACCCATCTAGTTATCATAGGGTGAATATGACTTCCAATAAGGGCCTTATGTATTTTCTCAAAACTGATGTTATCAAAGGCTCCTATAATATCCAGTAGAATTCCAATGGCAAAGTGTCCATCTATAATTGTTTTTTCTATTCTCCACACGAGTTGGTGTAGGGCCGACTCAGTGGAGACGCCAGGCCGAAGAAGGTTGGTCTAAGCCAAAAGTATGGTTCAGATTATTATCTGACTGGAGGTGCCAGAAAATCAATTGCTCCAACAGCTTGAGCTGGAAGGATGCTAGCGTAATCATTCTAAATGAATTTGGTTTCTCATATGTATCTTTTCCTGGTTTGGGAAGTTCTCCACACCTTAGGAACATATCCTGAAACCAAACTGGAGTCGAATATGTTGACGAGAATGTGGCCAAAAATATCCCAGCCTTTCTGAAGCAGAATGCAGAATTGCGCAAATACCATCGTTCCCTGGAGAATTTAAAGGGAAGAAATACATCTAAGGGCCGCTTTAGCCTTTTCACTATTGTCACTATTAGTTTACTATTGTCTTTAGCAAAATCCAAATCTAATCGACTGTGAAGTAGAATTCTGATAGGTTTTACCTGGGGGTCAGAGGTTGCACTTGTGCCTCCCAGAATGAAAATTCAACATGGTCGAAAGTGTATCCAAAGGGTTTATAGTATAATTGCCATCTGGTCGCATAACCAATGATAGTTGAGACTCCTGAGATCTTTTAAGAATCTTATGTACTTCTGGCAGTCTCATGGTAGGACAGTATCTGTGCAGAAGGATCTCCATGAGTTTGTATTTAGTTTTTCCTGATTTCATTTTAAATTTCCTTTGTAGAATTTTGAAGTTAGAGACCAGTTAACTTCAGATTTATTTCTGACTGCTTTCCTGTGAGCTCTCCGAACCTCTAGGCGGAAGCTTTCAAACTGCTTGGTCCACCGAACTCTCTTGCTAGGAGAGTACTTCGTTTGATTGAGGGCATGATGCATGATAAGATTCAATAGTGATATCTGTCAGATTGTTTGCTTGAGTATCAAGGTCCTCGACTATACAATTATTGTCTAAAACCTGAAGATTAATGACATTAGAAACCAGTGAGTCCTTATAAAGGTCCCAATTTGTGCTTTTAATGTTTCTGAAATATTCAACTGGTAATTTCATCTCTAATACAAAATTGTATAAGGCAATGGTCTGAAAGTGAGGGATTGTCACTTACATGCCAATTCTCAATAAGGTTGTAAATATCAGAAGTTAATGTGAGGTCAATGACTTCTTCTCTTCTTCTGTTGACAAAGGTGGAGCGATTATCCCTGTTTACCCAAGTTAGGTTGGTATTCATTATAAGTTCCATGAGTTTTTCTCCTCTAGGATTGGTATCAGAACTGCCCCATGATAGGTGGTGAGCGTTAACATCACCACCAATAACCATAGGAATATTGTTTATTTCACAGAAACTCACAAGATCTGTAAATTCTTGCAGAATGTTAAGGTTATAAGCCATGTAAACCGAGCAAAAACAAATGTTTCCTCTCAGTGAACTGTTTATGTCCTTAGTTAAAATAGCAGTTAAGTCCTCTGATGTAAATTGAGATAATTTCATAGCCTTTATATTTTTAGAAATGTAAATGCTAATTCTAGGTCTTTTATTAGGTCCCTCTGACGAAGAGAAGTGTGAGTTCATGGGCCTACCAAGGGTTTTACCCTTGTACACCCGAGGTTCTTGAATTAAGGCAACAAAAGTGCCTTGCTTACCTAATTGAGCAGCTAAATTGTATGAAGCTGCTTTGCTATGTTGCAGGTTTAGCTGACTAACTTTAACCATTAAAACAGGTTAAATGAGAGATAAAAACCTACCCTGTTACTATTATACATGATTTTAAAAGAAAGAAATATTAAGGAATGATAAATGAAAATGATTAAGGTTAAAAGGATGTAATTTTAAAAACGATGCCGGAAAATCTCACCTTTGCTTGGCTTTCTCAAATGTAAGATATCTTACATTTTTCACAAGTTTTATCCTTCAATAATCCACAATCCATCAAAAATCCTCTAAAAAGTTCATACTCTCTTGTTAATTCATACATAAAATATCTCTTTGGAATGCCTGGCTTTTCCAAACTTTTACACTTGTTTGAAAACTCCCACCTTAAATTTTCCTTTAAAATCTATCGATACTTAATTATAACATCACTAACAGCAGGTTTAAAGCAATCTATAACTAAATACAAAAATCTGATCTCCAAAACAGTATTCTCCACAATATCTGAGCGTTAAAGATTCGCCAAAAATAGTGTTACGAATTTTGTGTAGATAGTTAATTTTAGTACAATTCTAATTTAAAAATGTTGTATTTCCCCATGCAATGCAGCAGAAGATAAATTTTAAGAGAAGCTATGCCAGAAAAGTAAGAAAACATTGGCACGTGCGTGTAACTATGAGTAAATGGATATCTTGGTAATTTGTATTGGAATTTAATAAATGTAACTGACTACTATATTAGCTGTAACCATAATTCCATTCTCTTGTTTACATTGCGTTTGGCGAATAGTATGGGTTACCACATCATATCATTTATCACCGCTCTTGGCGATATTTTTTGGTTAAAATTCTGGGTGGGCTATACTGAAGCTGTGCCGAAAAAATTTCAATTGACAAGTTAGTCGGAGTTGACAAGTTAGTACAGGACTTGAACAGTGGAACTTTGTAACCGAACAAGAAATTATGTCTGTTTACAGAATTAAAGAGAAAGTATTAGCACATAAAACGAAGCAACTTAACCAACTTACATTGAAAGAAATGTTTAATAAAGTAAACAAATAAATATTAAGCTTTTTTTATATAAATTTTGATACCCTTTTGATCATAATTGCTCTTTATTTCATAAATTATGTTTTCATATTTTTAATTTTATAATTTCTGCATGCCATCTTATCAGATTTAAACTGATGATCTATAATCCAGAAAAACCCCTAATCCGAAATCGCCGAAGTTCCGACGAGTCCGGATTAAAGACATTGTAATGTATCTGATTTAACACTGCAGAAGACACTCCTTAAGGAAGTAAAATTGAAGCAGTTTCAAACTTTTGTGATATAAACTAGAAGAAATTTTTGACTCATTGCATGAAATTATGGTAGCTTTAATTAAAAAGGACGGCATGATGAAAAAATTTTAATTTACAAATTTTAGATAATTTGATAATTTGTGACCATGTTCTTATGAGTATAAATATTGTCAGCAAACAACAGCATTATAAAGTATGAATATTAACTTGTTTTACAATCTACTGAAATGTTAAAACTTTTTACAGAACAGATTCAAATTATAAGAATGTGTTCGAAACCGAGGAATATATATTTTATAGTAATGAAGGGAAACCTTTTAGTAAATGTAATTGCTAAAGAAACTAAACAATAACACAAACATGATTTTTAAAGTCCTCAAGTTATTTGTCCAATGTCCTTTGAATGTCCAATGAAAATTTTTTGTAAAGTCTCTGGATGGAAAAAGTTGCACCAGGTAAATGTTCAAATAAAAAAGTTTTTCAAATTTTTGTTGATGAAAATATTTATGTTGTAATACAGATTGATTCGGGAACTCTCATGTCGAAATATAATACTCAATTCAAATAAGCTCATCTTATTGTTGATACACATATTTAATGCAACAGAAAATTTATTATAAAAGCATAATAATATGATGCAATACTAAATAATACAGTAATACTTTGATAATTAATTGGCATATCCTCTCCAACAAAATCAGTGTACCATCTTGCTGATAGTTCGGGGATGCTTAAGTACAATACAGTCAAAAGTCGTTAATCCGGACTCGGCGATTCCGGATTATCAATTTTTCCGTATTATACATCATCAGTTTAAATCTGGTAAGATGGCATGCAGAAATTATAAAATTAAAAATATGAAACCGTAATTTATGAAATAAAGAACAGTTATTATCTAAAGGGTATCAAAATTTACAAAAAAAAAAAAAAAAAAAAGCTTAATATTTATTTGTTTACTTTATTAAACATTTCTTTCAATGTAAGTTGTTTAAGTTGCTTCGTTTTTTATGTTATAATACATTTTCTTTAATTCTATAAACAGATATAATTTCTTCTTCAGTTACAAAGTTCCATTGTTACAAAGTCCTATAATTGCTGTGTCGAGAATATCGACTAATTTGTCAATCGAAATTTTTTCGTTTTCAATAACCTCTGTGTCACTTTCTTCACTATCGGAAGCGAATTATAATGACGAGGAATTTGATTTAAATCATATCAAAGATGGAGTACATCGAGATAAAATACTACATTTAGTAAGGAATTATAAGCCAAATAAAATAAAAACATCTACCCTGAAGATAAGGATAGTGCTGACAGATCAACTTCCAATTCTTTGCGCGCCGCGGCGTCCCCCCCCCCCCCCCGACTGCAGAGCAGCGGGAAATTGATAAACAGATTTCGGAATGGTTAGATAAACAAAGGATTATGCCTTTATCTATTTTTTGCAGCAATTCCACTTTTTGTTTAATGGACTTCGAAACATACTTTTGCATTGTAGATCCGTTACATATTAGTAAATATATATCGGAAATTCTATGTGACATAATGGAAAGTTCAAGCTTACTTTTAGAAAATTGCTCTAACAGTCTGCAAAAAATAATAAGCCGGATTCAATTCGAAGATTAAGGAACAACGCAATCTGCAACATTATCTGAATTAGATAATTTTAGCTTAGCTTATATCGTCCGTTATACATTAAACGCGCATGTGGCACACGTATATTCACAACTGTAAAGGTCTTATGCGCATGCGTTAACGCGACGCATGCGCAGAAAGCTTGTAGCTTTGAGATCCGGATTATAGATTATTCCAGATTATAGGTGTCCGAATTAACGACTTTTGACTGTATATCAAAAACCTCCATTCCTTAGAATAAGGTAACTGGTTTTTGGCATTGTACAATTGTCAAAGTTTTTTGTTTCTAAAATTTTGCATATTAATTAATAAAATATAACATTATACAAAATTAAAGCTGAAATAAGATAAATAACTTGTACAATCAAGTTGTCTCTGAAATTTTACAAAATATAGATGAATATTACCCTACAATAAGAAGAAAAAAAGAAAAATTTTGTTCTAAAATTTGTGTATGTGTGTGGTAGCTCTTCTGCGTTAAACTATGGTCAGAGGATCGTGACTGGTAAAGAAAATAGAAAAACCGAAGCCAGTCTCATGGCCATAGTTGAATCTCCTAACAAATAAAAGAAAAAAAATTTTAGGTTGGTGTTAGGTGTGTTCCTAGCAGGACAGTGGGCATGTGCTATCACTTCTTGTATCCTCCCTAAGGAGAGGCTGCAAGGAGTTGTAAGATTCTCACTAGTGTAATTCTCAGTTACTGTAGAAAGTGACAAATCTTAAGAACTAGTTGGGAATAATTGCTTAAGCTCGTGTGACAAGAAACAACAAGATGGAAGAGTAACTAACCTTTTATTTTTCCAATAAGATTTAACAAAACTCCGTCTTGGAGTGTCCAATAAAAGCAGACAGTTGGGCTTGAACTTAAGAGACTAAGAATTAAACTAACACTAAGATTAGCTAAAGAAATATAGCCGAAGATAATCAAGATTCTAATCGACTACGACCCCTTAACTCTATTTGACTATGAATCTTATCAAGGGCCTGAGTACGCCCGAACGTAATAACAGCTTTGACAGAGAGTAGCCAAAAGGCAGATGCGCGTAAATCAGGAACTCTAATTCTCTCTAACTCTGTAAGTAACTTCGCTGTTTAAATACAGCTCCTCCTCATTAAATATTCAGAAAGATTCCAAAACTACGTTCTGGCCGGAAGTAGTAAGTTGAAGTTAAGAATTTGACAGGAAAATAACTGTAACTTAAAATTTAACTGTTAATAAAATTAACATAATCCTTACACAGCTTACGACCAGACTTTAAATACTCAAAAAATAAAGTCTCAAAACGACCTTGTTTAAGACTTTAAAGTCTGAAAAACTTCTTACATTAACTACACACTTTAACTTTTGAATTAACTAAAGTAACTTTAAAGTTCTGTTTTTAGGGCCAACTTTACAACAATTCTAAAAGCAAGACTAAAGATAGGAAAAATTTTTTAATTTTACAACAAATTCTCTGTTTTCGACATACAGCATCTTCTTGAATGGACACTTTATTCAGCTACTATCAAGTCAGGTCTTGATCCTTCCATATCTGGAAGGAAATGTCATTAGTAAGGAATTTACAATGCTTTTCTATAAATCCTGAAATTACGCTTTTATTTCCTCAATTAGCCCTCATGCACTTTCTTTCATACTACAGTTTTATTTCCCCCATGCTCTCCAGCAAATGTACTGAAATGTACTTCGGGTCTTTTATGTTGTGTTCCCGTGAACAAAACTACTGCTACACATCTAACTTTCTTAAAATAGATGACACTCTAGACCTTGCAAGACTCCCTACATAAAAACTCTTTCCTAATGTAGTCAGCGAAAGCTTATATTTACTTTTAAAAGTGTTAACTGGAGATCCTAACATTAAACACACGTATATACTAAACATTCAATTCTTTCACAATTCAAATACACCGAGGCCAAAATTTATCTTTTTTACAATTTTAACTTTATGACATTTCAACACAGAGATTAAACATTTCTACTTTAACATGAACATTTAAATATTTACACATCACTTTTGAATTCACTTTACATCAACAGTCATAGTTGCTTAACTACAATTTACCATCTTTACACGAAATCTTAACTTTACGTTAACAGATTTTGGTATTCTAAGAGTTTTCCGACT